GGTGGTTGTGGAATCAGACAAAGCCTGGTGGGGTAGCTGGATGATTAAAGGGGAAGAAAGGGAGATAGCTGGGGATAGAATCTAGATGGTGGTGAAATTAGGGAGGTATTGGGGTGTGGGTGTGGGGGAGAGGGAAGAAGAAGAAGAAGAAGAAGAAGAAGAAGAAGAAGAAGAAGAAGAAGAAGAAGAGGGGGTCACCACCTTACTCTTTCTAAGTTTTCAAAACAACAGGACTTCCTGTTCCATCATCAATGGAACTGCTGTCCTCACTGCTAAGGTTCAGTCTGAATCCTGGATACAGCCTAGTGAGGGTTCATAGGGCCATGACTGCATCCAGAGCTCTGCCAAACATGCCAGCTGGGGAGGGAAGAGCTGGCACAGCAATTGGGCCCAGATTAGGCCAATCAATTTATACAGAATCAGATCAAAATATTAAAAAAGAGAAAGAGGAAATGAAAAACCATCAACATCAAGTTAAAAAGCATCTGAAACCAGGCAGAAGAAAAATGGTTTTGCTGTTCATGTCAAAGTCATCAGGGATGAGGCCAATCTACCTTTCTTAGGGAGGGAATTCCATAAACAGGGTGTGGTCACAGAAAAGTCCCTGTCTTGCCTTCCTATCAACTAAACCAGTGTGTGTGTGTGGGGGGGAGAGAGAGAGAGAGAGAGAGAGAGAGAAATTCATATGGGAGGAGGCAGGTAGAGGACCTTAAAGGTCATATATCATCAGTATAGCTCTCTTATATAGTATGCAACCCTGAGACCTATATAAAGCTCCAAATATCCCTATTTATCTAGGATAATCACTGTTTCCCTGCTCCTGTTCAAAAATAACACACTGCTCCTATTTATAACTTCAGCTACCATACTTCAGGTACCGTATTTTTCACTCCATAAGGCGCACCTGACCATAAGGCACACCTACTTTTGGGGGAAGGAGGATTGAAGAAAAAAATATTATATAAAGGGAGCATCCTAGGCTCTGCTCAGCGCTCCCTTTCATGAGTCACAGACGAGCTGCCCTTCTCCCTCCTCAGGGAAAAGCCCCCAAGAGCCACACACACACACACCGCAGCTCTTGAAAGGGAGCGCAGCTATCCCTGGCTCCCACCTCCCGCTCCCACCTCCCGCAAAAGCCAGGGATAGCCGAGCAAAGCCTCCCCAGGGCTTGTGGGGCTGGCGGGGGAAGCCTGGCTTTCCCCCACCCCCAGCCCCAAAAAGCAGGTCGGGGAGCAGCGGAAAGGCTGCACGCAGCCTTCCCGCTTATCCCCGAGCTTGTGGGGCTGGCGGTGGGGGAAGCCCGGCTTCCCCCCACTCCCAAAGAGCAGGTCGGGGGTGGCGGGTGAAGCCTGGGTCCCCCCCAGCCCCAGGGACCACACATTCGCTCCATAAGATGCACAGACATTTCCCCTTAGATTTTAAGAGGAAAAAATTGTGTCTTGTGGAGTGAAAAATACGGTAAATGATAACTGTTAATTTATTTCATCCTTCCCCAATCTGATGCCCACCAGATCTTTTGGACTTTGCTGCCCAGGGCTGATCAGAGTTGTAGTCCAAAAGCTCTGGAGAGTATCAGGTTGGGGAAGACTAATTTATTCCTGCCTCCTGCCTTTAAAAGAAAAAGCAGTTGCTGATCCATAAGAGGACCTCCTTATCTGTTTTAGGAACAACTAGGTGCTGCGTCTGATCTGGGGTTGGGGGATGTCTCTTCATCTGCCTATTGTTTCTCCCTCAGATAATAACAAATAGTTCTCCAAGGAGCTTTGACTGCAATTGCAGTTATGCCCCAATCAGTTTTATCTTCCGATAGAGATTCATGTGGAGAGATACATTACAGCATATTAATCCTTTGACACCTCCTTAGATGCACAGTGAATTATGTGTTCAGTTTCCATAGAAGGGTTTAAAGAAGAAAGATATTTTAGATAACAACGTATTACTTTTTTCTCTTTATGAACATACATTAGGCTTCCTCATTGAGTGCAAATATATATATATATATATATATATATATATATAGACCTCTATTATTTTATTTATGACTGTGTTTATATCATATAGTATTGTGTGTGTGTGTGTGCTTCAAAGCCTTCTAAACTAGCCTCCCCCAAGCCATTGCCCTCCAGCTGTTTTAGACTACAACTCCCATCAGCCCCAGCTGTCATGGCAAATGGTCAGGTGTGATGGGAATTGTAGTCCACTGTTATTTGGAGGGTACCAGCATGTGGAAGGCAGTCCCATCAGCACTACAGTGGTACCTCAGGTTACATACGCTTCAGGTTATATACGCTTCAGGTTACAGACTCCGCTAACCCAGAAATATTACCTCGGGTTAAGTACTTTGCTTCAGGATGATAACAGAAATCATGCTCCGGCGGCACGGCAGCAGTGGGAGGCCCCATTAGCTAAAGTGGTGCTTCAGCTTAAGAACAGTTTCAGGTTAAGTACTGACCTCCAGAACGAATTAAGTACTTAACCCGAGGTACCACTGTATTTCCAGAGAAATCCTGATAGTCTGAGTACTGTGTTTCAAGGACACCATTTGGCTCCATATTGTCTGTGTACTAAGTCAGCTGCTCTCAAGGGCCAATCCCACTCCTCTGTCTGAACAACTCGTCCTATATGGAAAGTCACTTGACACCCTCCCAAAGCCAATAGGATTGCACCCTTTTGTTATCTTGTATCTACCTACCTGTGAGTAAGCTCCATTAAACACAGCAAGACAGACTTACCTGAGCAGAAATTTATCTGCCTGGCTGTTAATAGTAATCAATGTAAATGAAACAGAATTCAAAAGAAAGGGGCTAATGATTGTCCATTATCCCACTGACTTCACACTCCTTGGTCAGGTGGGAGCAGATTTACTTTTAATTGAATAGCTGGGTAAAATCCTGCTTAGACACTTTCTCTTTTGGCTGCACATATAATTGGGTTTTGGATTTACCTTTTCTTTCTTTTTACAATTTTTTAATTTCAATTTGACTTTAGTTTTCAAATGTTACTGCTTCCATCCAGTAATGCTTGCATAGTAGTTTAGGAAACAAGATAAAATAGGGGGGTGGGGGTGGGGGTGGGGGTGGGGGAGAGGCACCACAGGCCCTCTTGTGGCCATGGCCTGAGCTACAGGACAATAATAAAAATAATAATACAAGCTCTCCAAATATTTTACCCTATCTCCACAGGTGAAAATGCAGCTTTGGGAGGGAGATTTCAAGCTGGCAGGAAATTACTGTACAGTAAAGGATTAAGCAGCCTTTTCTGCTCTTCTTAACCCAGCTGCTTTGGGTTAAGAAAGAAAAAGAAGAAATGGGAAAAAAAGAGAGAATTGTCTTGTGATGTATAGCTTGACCTGATGGCAGCAGGCATGATTACCTCTTTCAATATTTCTACCTCCTGCAGGGCTGCAGTTCCTTGCCACTTATAGCATCATATTCTACATCCCATAAGCTTTAGACATCATTAAATGAAAGAAGTGTGCTTAAAAAAGAATCTTACTCTAAGTGATGAAAAGCAAGAGGGGATTAATGATAATATGGTGCTCACAGCTTAATGTATGCACCATTGTTCAGAAATGGCAGAAGTCTAGTTCCTTTTGTGTTCAGAGAACTTTGTGTTATAGATAGACAGGAGATGTGTAAAAGAGAGGATTTGGGCCAATGCGATTTTCAGGTCAAACTGCTGCATGGATGAGGAAAGCTGTATCTGACAAAATGCCCTCTTTGGTATTACTAGTAACCACACTGTCTCCCTTTAAGTTCCATTTAATGCCAAAGTATGTTCCCACATGCATGCATCCAGGCAATCATCCACAAAATGTAGTTGAGAAGACTGTGGGAATGCAAGATTGTTTTGAAAGGACATGACAAGAGTTATCCGTAAACCATAAAAGATAGGCTTGCCATATTTCAAAAAGTAGAATTCCTGACACCCCCCAAAGTTGTTGAGTCCAGCTGCACTCATTCCGTTGCGGGGGGTGGGGGGTGGCTCAAAGGAACCAGCTGCCTTCAACCAGGAAGATGACCACCAGCAGCCGAAGCGTCTCTGCTCCATCACTGTTGGAGGTGGATTTCAAGAAGGAAAACAGGAAATGCAGAAGTTCTTTTCTGCCCCAAACTGCACATGAGGCACACTTAGCAGAGTGTTATGAATAACCGCCATACCTGGCAGAGGAGACCCACTGGCTTTCCTCTTGCAGGACCGTGAGACCGCAGGCCGATTACTGCCCAGTCCATCTGGATGGCCATTTTGACCAGCTCCAACAGGAAAAAAACAAAACCTGCAAAACTCCCCGCAACCCTCCCAAATGAAAATGGCCAGACTCATGGCAGCTGTGTTGCCTTCATCCCTCCCCCACTTCATCACTTCCATTGCCGCCGGGGTGTAGGCTCCCCTGGAATTTATTTTTTAACAAAACAAAACCTGAAACTGGGGGGGGGCATGGGGGGACTGGGTTGCCATATGTCCCAGAAATTCCTGACTTCTCTTAAAATTCAAAAAATCCCCCTTAAATTCAGCTTAGTCAGTAGAGCATGAAACTCTTAATCTCAGGGTTGTAAGTCTGAGCCCCAGAACCTTTCAAGATTCCTCAAGTATTCAGAGGATCCAATCTGATGTAGGGGTTGGTTTGTGTTAGAGCTTTCACATACTTCCTGTTGTCCCACTGCTTTCCCCCAGTGGAAAACTCTCTTTAGCGCTCAATTGGCGCAAATGGCAATTTGGTTTTCCCCAGGATGGACATTTGCTCTGATTCAGAGCTAAAAAGTGGGTTTTCCCTGAAAAAGAAGTGGGGCAAGGGGGAAATTGCTCAGACTCATGCCTAGAAAGTGTGGGTCAAGTGGAAAACCACTTAGCCCTGTGCTTTCTAGGCATAGGAGAAGTGGAAGAGTGACAAAGTCCTTCATTGGCTTCATGTCCCCTCTAAGTCTACAGTGCAAGGGAAAGTACTGTATTTTTCACTCTATAAGATGCACATTTTCCCCTCCAGAAATTAAGAGGAAATGGCTTCAGCGATAGCAACGCGAAGCCTCAGAAGTGCAGTGGGAGCACTCCCACCGCACTCCGGAGGCTTCGCATTGCTTTCGCTGAAGCCTGGAGAGCCAGAGGGGTCGGTGCGCACCAACCCTTCTCGCTCTCCAGGCTTCGGGGATAGCCGCCTGAAGCCTCCGGAGCACAGTGGGAACTCCCGCCGCACTCCGGAGGCTTCGGGTTGCCTTCACTGAAGGCGAAGGCAATGTGGGAGAGGAAGAGCTGCACAGTGCCCCTTCAGTGAAGCGGGAGAAGAAATGGAAGGGGCTCCATTTCTCCTGCCGCTTTGCTGAAGGGGCGCTGCGCAGAGAGGGGGAGAAATTTCTTTTCTTGTTCTCCCCCTCTAAAACAAGGTGCGTCCTATGGTCGGGTGCGTCCTATAGAGCAAAAAATACAGTAGCTTTTCTATACAGATCAAAACCAAATAAGAACGTTAAAAAACCTGCTGGATGAGATTAATGGCCCATCTGGTCTAATATCCTGTTTCCAGTGGCCAACCAGATGCCTATGAGAAGTACAAAGGCAGGACCTGAGTCCAACAGCACTCTTCCCACTTGTGATTCCCAGCATATACAAGCACCAGACATTTAGCTGCATGGAGTCTTTCCAACCCTGATTATCACTAAGTACCTCTTACTTGTGTCTAGCATGTTATAGCAGACCTAAGTGATCTCATTTTATTTATTAGGTTCATAGGGAGAAAACAAATGTTCAGTTATAATATATTTTAATTTGGATTCATTCATACAGACTTTTCTCCAAAAGTCCTCTAACACAGAGCCGTAGTATCATCATGGAATTAATATTGTGAGCAAAGTCAATTTGACTTGACTGGGAGAAAATAAATTTTAATCAATACAATCCAAATCAACTCTGCAGCTTCTTGTTTTCATTTCAGAACAAAATGAAAAATGAATTCTCATGGGTAAAGAATTACGAACTCATCTGTGGTGAAGACTCATAGAAGAAGATTCAATATGAGCAGGACTAACTTTAGCACACATCTCACGCATACTGTCTGAAGCTTTCCATAAGGTCCAATATTGGGCAACATTAAATGATTGAAAGACATGTTCTTTTCTAACAAGCACTTATTTGTGGTGGTTCTGAGAATATAATTTTTCATGACCCTGGGAGGACTCTGATTTGGATGATACACCAGTAACATCATAACACAAGAAGGTCCCTTTGGGATTAAAGCAGGCTGTCTTATCCATAGGCACTAGGGGTGTGGGACACCTGGGCACCGGGCTCTCAGGTGTGCCAGGCTGAGAGTCCGGGCCCAAGTGTTGAGTCCAGGGAAGAGCCTGCCCATCGGTCGGACTGCCATGGTGAGCTCTTCTGCTGCGGGCGGCTCTGTGCCATGAGTTCAGGGGCTGCTTCGCCCTCCTGCGCGCCTGGGACTGAGCAAGCTGGGGGGGCACCGGGCGGATCTTTGCACCCCGGCACCGCATATGCTCGTCTAGTACAGCATCCTGTTCCCAGTGGCAAAGCCGTGACCCACTTGAGATAAAAGCCCTCAGCACCCACTTGTATATTGCCCTGGATGAGGACATAACTCTTCTATCAACCTCCAAAATCTGAGGGTGCCTCCTCTGCAAGCGTCCTGCTCCACCACCAAAAAAGCATGTGACTGGAGGACAGGCTGCATGTCTTCAAATATTGCAAAAAGCTCTCCTGGAGAGAGAGAGGGAGTTACTGCCAGGCTTTATAAAGCACATTATGGTGTTGTTGTGTTGTTGCGGAGAAAACTCTGGAGTTGGTGGCAAAGCAGCTGAGCAAGAAAGTCCTGCATCCCCCAAGCAGCAAGAGAGCAAGCTGAGTTCTCTGCTGTAGTGCAAACAGTAGAAAGTCCATCTTTCTCTCCAGACTCTCTGTCCTGTAAGCGGGTGGCAGATCTTAGAGTGTGTGTTTCTGGCACTGGGCAATCAGAGCTGCTGGCATTCAGAGTAGAAAATACTGGATTAGATGGTCAAATAGTCTGCGCTGTATAACATAATCTTCTATCTTCGCAGATATGTGCTGCCTGACAATTGGATCCAGGGAGCATCAGGTACTTTCAGTCTTTAGAGGGTAAAAACGTAAGGACAGCAAGCTTGATCAGGACAATGGCCCATCTAGTTCAGCATCCTTTTCTCACAGTGGCCAACTGGATGCCAAGCAGGATCTCAGCACAACAGCATTCTACCCCTTCTGGGGTTCCTAGCAACTGGTATTCAGCAGTGCACTACCTTTTGACAGTGGAGGAAGAACATAGTCATCATGGCTAGTAGGCTAGTAGGCCATATCCTCCACTGTTGTGCTAATCCTCTTTTAAAGAGGCCATCACTGCCTCTTGTAGCAGCAAATTCTATGCACTGTATTTTTATCTGTCCTGAATGTTCCAAGCAGTTGGCTTCCTTTGATGTATGTGAGTTCCAGTGCTATGAGAAAGCAAGAGACAAAAATTTTTCTCTAACCACTCTCACTTATGCTATGCATAATTTTTTAACTTCTATCATGTCACCTCTTACTCAACATTTCTCCAAACCAAAAAGCCCCAAATGCTACAGCCTTTCCTCAGAGGCGAGTTACTGCATCCCTTTGATGATTTTGGTTACTCTTTCCTGAACCTTTTCCAACTCTAAAATATCCTTCTTGAGCATAGGTTTGGCCAGCTGTGGCTCCTGAGTCTAGTGGAAGTAAAAAGAAGAAGAAAGCCTCCCTCCGGTTCTTAGCTTTTAACACACTCTGTTGTGAGCTGGTATGTAAGAAAAAAATCATTTCCAGTTTTGTCACTTTATAAAAATTCTCCCTTTGGAATCCAGTGTATAATAAACTGTTTCTAAGTGACTCAGAAGGAGATTTACAGAATAGCTTGTTCTGATTAAGAGCATGTCCCATATTGCTTACAAAACTGGGCTGAAAACTAAGCTCTTCCTTTTACATTTCAAGCATCTGGAGATTTTTTAAAGGGTATTTCAATTGCAGGATAATGTTAGCAATTAAGACATGGAAATGGGTATTTGAGAGATAATTTGCCATGGGTAACTAACAAGTTAGGGAGAGAGAGGGGTGAAAGATTTTTCACTCTCTCACCATAGCCCTGCTCTGCAAGTCCATCACTGGAGACACTGTGAACATCAGTACTGTTTTCCAAAGCTCTCTGGAAAGAGGTTATCCTGCATTATTACGCTGATCAAAATAGGTAGATGCTTGTCACAAGACTACTATACCAAGGATTAGTGCCTGTAAGGGCTAGATCATGAGGTGAGCCAGGAATCAGGAGCCAGGAGTCAAAACCAGAAGTGAAACAGCTAGGAACAAATCTGTTCCATCCTCTAGTCTACATGACAGCCCTCTGGGTTTTTGAAGGCCACCTTTTTTGTCTGCTTGTTCTTCTCCTCTCCAAGTTTTGCACACCCAGCTCTTTCAACTATCTCTTGTAGGACTTGGATATCCAGGGAAGACAGATGAACCCTGAAGAATGGCAACTCTAACAACCTACAGCATTTGTTAATAAGGCAGAACTGGCATCAAGGGTTGGCATGGCTAGCATCTGCCAAGGCCCCCCAGCCCATGTGGGGACTCACTAACAAGAGCCATGTGGCTTGCTCCTCCTTTTCACCATTACCACCTGCTTGTTCAGCCAACTCTTATTCTGCTGCAAACAATAGTGAGGAGGAGCAATAGATCCAACTGGCTGCTTGCTCATCTCTTCCTGGCAACTCAGGCCAATGGCAAGGAAAGAGGAGGAACAGTAGCCAGTGGTAATGGTCCCTTCAAAGCCTGGTACTGACACTGTAGCAAGACAAGCATAGAGTTGGAAGTGTTTTATCAGGGATACACTACTGGTAAATAGGAACAGTTGAAACATATGACAGTCCCAGAAGTTCTAAGAGCCTGTTCACTCAGCAGAAGTTTAACAATTATTGCAGTAATAATATCCTACAGTTACATCTCAGATCAAATGAAGATAAGTGTCGGGATTGATCGCTTAACAATAGACTCTTTGACATCTGTTATTCTTTTCATATTTGGTAAAGGGTTGCTTTTTTAAAAAAAGTTCTAATTGGAATCAGAGTGCTTTTTTATTCAATTGTGTTGTATTGAGTTGATTCTGTGTAATAGTGTGTGTGCATTGTGGGGGGAGAGAGAAGGATCAGACTGAGGGAGGGCAAATGGGGACATGTGCCCTAGGTGGCAGGTTAGGGGTGTGGCAAACAGCATTCTGCCCTGCCCTGGATGGTTATGTGGGGTGGTAGAGAGAGGAGAAAGTTTGGAATGCCACAGCACAATGCTCATTGACAACTCCTCCTCTCCCTGTGCTGCATTCCACCACTCTGTCCATCTGTCTGTGTCACGTGCTGTCCTGTAAGTGATCATTGGAGAAGGATAGCCAATGGCAAAGCAGGGCCCATTACATGATGTCCTTTTGTTCTTTACCACACTAATAATAATAATAGTAATAGTAATAATAGTAATAATTTTATTATTTATACCCTGCCCATCTGGCTGCATTTCCCCAGCCACTCTGGGTGGCTCATAGCACATCTAAAAACATAATAAAAACATCAAACATTAAAAACCTCCCAATACAGGGCTGCCTTCAAATGTCTTCTAAAAGTTGTGTAATTCCTTATCTCCTTGATATCCGAAGGGAGGGCATTCCACAGGGAGGGTGCCACTACTGAGAAGGCCCTCTGCCTATTATAACCCAGGATAGTCAGGCGGTGCAAGCATGGCCCAACTGATGCAAAGCCCTCCTCCTCTTTCCTCTGTTCAATCATGCATATCCTTCTCCCACTTGGACAGTCAACCACTCTCTATGTCTAAACCCAACATGCATATCAGAGTAGCCAAATACCAACTGGGTGAAGCTCCTTGCAAGCCTCTTGCATCTACCTGAAAAAGCTTCAGGTCTCAACTGCCAATCCTGAGGGGAGGGGGGGGGAAGCATGCCTTGCTTGTGGTTGTTTACAGTCTGACATTTTGCTGGGAAGGGAAGGAAAAACCAATAAGCCTTTTTCCCCTCCACCTCACTAGGCTAGCAGGTAAGGGACTAGATGTACCTGGAA